ATCCCATGCAAAGTTTGTTATACACTTGCTGTGCATTTGAATGGCTTTATAGCACTACAATATATACTTATTTTTACTAAGTGCTCCAGCTATGGTTAATTGTGTGTTCCAGGGGCTGACTTTAACTCCAGAGAGCAGGCAGGCTGTAAACTTTTACTCTGATGTAAAACTTGGCAGCAATTTGTACCCCTGTGGTAGAGAAAACATTATGTTGAGAAATTCTGGCATGCCAGACAAAATTATGGACTTAGAGACCGAGATTAAGCCTGTGTTTCAGTTCTTAAGTGCCCAGATTTCCACTGAGCTCAGCCAGGGATCCAAACCCACAAGCACTTCTATAAGGACATGTATTTGAAAGGCATTAATTATGTTTTTAAAAGGCAATTCTGATGCAGCGCCAACAGAAGACGTGAGTGGCTGTGGACGCACAGCACTGGGATAAATCCTGGAAGGTCTTAGGGAATCCAAGTAACATTCCAAAAGCTGAAAAATCTTCTAGTTAGAGGTCAGCACTGCTCCAGTTTCCATACTCTGCTGTATGTGATTGGCCTGTGTGGGATCTACCAATATAGTCAAGGGATAGAGAAATGTCAGAACGGATTCTTTCATTTGGGTGATGAAGTGCCCGCTCTGCCTGCCAGCATGCAGGGCTCAATAAAAGCAGACAGGTCTTCAAAAAATAGCAGCATAAATAGATGAACTCTTTAAAGTAATACAAGTTCTGTCATCTGGAGGTGAAATATAGACCTAAGTGCCCGCTGAAGTAAAGGCTGACCGCACGTTCCACAGAGAAGTGCTCAAAGTTTTCTCAGAGTGTCTCGGGCTGAGCAATGTTTTAACTACAGCTCTCCTTGCCACAACAGACAGAATGCAAGCATTTGAAGTTAAATCCATTTTTCAAAAGAAGAAAACAAAGCATCCATAAAGAAACAAAGGCCTATCACGGGATGAGGTCTCTAGATAGCCACTGTTTGCAGGGAAGTTGCAATTAGCTGTGCAATGGAGAAGGTGAATTTAGTTGTATTTCAACAGCATTTATAATGACTTCAGCAGCTAAAATGCTGATAGGTACGTGCAGGGGGTTGGTTTCAAGATTTCCTTGTGAGACGCAAGGTCAGGATTCCTGTGGTCTCCTGTCATATTTAATTCATATCCTCTGGCCTTCTTCACCACATTTATTGAATTACAGGAATAAAATTCAACGAACCAAAAACAAAAGAAGAGAGGACATGGCACATCCTGATTTCTTTTATGTTCCTCCTGCACAACTGAGTTCAGTGTGCTTGCAGAAGAGCATCTTGGAGCAGGATTTGGAAGGAGGGGGAGGTACAAGTCAGTAAAACCCCTCTCACCATCCCTCTAATTGCATCCAAGTAATTTATTGCAAGGAGCAACCATTTACATGTGGGAGTGAGGATCCAATTTCCACCAGTAAAGACTCTCCCTGTGTACTTTTTAAGGCTAATCTGTGCACTCCCTGTGTGTGTTTACCAGGCTCCTTCTTGCCACAAATGAGATGGCAGTAAATGGCTTTGCAAAACCACCCAGAAGAGCATCACTGGCAATTCATCACATCAGTGCTGAGAGGCAATACTTAAATATGCTAAAACACCAGCTCCAGGGAAGTGCCCTACTGGTGTGCTTGTAATGGTGATTCCCTGCAGTCATCTCAGTTAAATTGGTCCAGCCTTTCTCCTCCCTTCACAAAAAGCACAGTGTTCCCAACAGGCCCGTGGTGGGGACTCTTCTGCTGGAGCAATGGGGAGCAGCTCTGTGATTTGGGAGAAGGAGATTTTCTTGTCTCCTCTGCTCCTATGATCCTATTTGCATTGCCCTGAATGCTGCCTCCAAGAACTGGCTGGTTTGGGTTTAACTGTGGATCACTCAGATCTCTCAGCTATTTTTTCAGTCAAATCTACACCCAGTTCTGCTCTGTGGTTCAGACACCCCCAGAGTTAAAACAGACCATCCCCTGGTGTGAGCACAGTCACATCAGAACCTCACATAAACACCCTGTACCAATACCCAATAACAGCTTTACAATGGTGTCATTTGGTTTTAGAGCCAGAAATGTGCAAATCTGGTTGTTGAGTCTGACCCAAAATAATCATCGAAAAAAAAAGAGAGAAAATGTTTTGAAATTCTATCCAAAACTGCAAGCTCACCACTATGTAGCTTTGGCATTTGAATTTTTGGAAATGTCACAGCTAATAAATAATGTATTTTTTTTTCTAAGCTACAAGGTACATTTTTATTTTACAACTTGAATCTGCTTAACTTCCAAAAATTAAATGCTCTGCTCACATCCACATCAACCTATGGGATGGCTGCCTTTCCACTTAATACATTTAATAAAGGTGACCAGATGCTTTGTGATTTTAATGGCTTGTTCTGCATCCCAACAAAATGTCCCTGTTTTGGCTGTGAGAGCAGATGATTCATCCTGAAACCCAGCCCAGCTGCCCTGACACAGGGCACAGATAAAAACACACCATCTGTGCCGGGGAGTGGGATGGAGGAGTGCTTTGTCAGGAAAACACCGTCCTTCCTTGGGCACTGTGTATTCCAGGCATCCAGTACTCCCAAAATCCTATGGGTCCAACCTCTCTGCCTTTGCAGTTCAATTTTGCAGTTATATCCCATCTCCCATCAAATGTTCTTCCTCAGAAACCCCTCAGCCTGCTCTGCTCTGTAAGATCTGCAGATCAAACATTTCTGCAAAACGTAAGATGTTGCTCCCGGTTTTATTCTTTCCAATCACACGGCAAAATTCCTGCCCGTGTGGCTGCATCAGCCAAGCCAGAAAAAGCAAGAGGGAGGGATTCATTTATGGCTCTTCTGACTAATGAGCTCTGCCCAGCTCTGCATGAGCACCACTCCACGGTGAGCTCTGCCAGGGGACACATCCTGCACCCAGGGGTCACTGTGCCACCGCTCCCAGACTTGCCGAATCCAAGGGCAAAATTCTACCCACAGGCAAAGCTCCTGCTGCCTCAGCAAGAGCCAGGCAGGAATATCTGAAGGGAAAGTCAGGCTTGGAGTGTGTCATTGAGAAAAGGCACTTCCAGCCTCAAAGGGTTCTGGCCCCACAGCATCTCCTACCTCCCCTGCAGGCAGCACCTTCTCCCTGCCCAGGAGCATTCCCGGTGGGACACTCCGGGGTGGGAAGCAAAGGTTCCTGTCCAGTTTTCTGTGCAGCCTGTGTTCTGCAGCATTTGAAAGAACCACTGCAGCTCAAGTCATCTGGCATGCATACGAATGACAAATATGCTTCAGAGGCAATAAATTAGCAATTTCAAGGCTTTACTTCCCCTCCTGGACTAATTGCCAGAGATTATAGTATATTATGTGAGAGCAATGATACTAATGCCTAAATATGCTTCAGTGATTATAGAGCTATCCTCAATAACCAAGCTGTTTAAATGTCAATGCAAGAAAGCTCTTTATTATGAGATTAAATATTGTTTTGAAGCAATGCAATAGGAACTTCCCAGGCTTCCTGCCTGCAAAAATGCTGCCTTGGGGCAATATATATTGGACAAGGTATGTTTTTTGAAAATGTGGGCAGTAAAGGGTCCCAAAATACTTTTGTGCTGCAAACTCGAACAGCATTCCTGATAAGAAGGAGGATCTTGGCATCTTTTATTTTGTATTTGTTACTAACACGCTCCCACCTTCATCTTTACTCCACTTGTCTATCACCACTGTACAAAGAAGATCAATCCTTGTTTTCTGTCAGTGTGAGTTGGGAATCAAACCTTAAAGACCTTTCCTTCTTTTTTTTTTCCCACCTCTAAGCACCAGTATCTTGCACAGATACTTCTGAGTCCTGCCCCTCACACCTAAATAAATCTCTTTATACCTGGCATTGAGAGAACCCCTGGAAATCAGATGGAACCTCCAACTTTCAGGTTCAGCTGTTGACATGAAGCAGAGAACAAAAGTGTCTTTAAGCCATGACTCCAACTGCACAGCTCTGGAGATGCCAGTTGGTGATCACAACCTCAGGTGTGGATGTAGAAGGAAAGAAGGCTAAAAAGGCTTTAACATCCCACTAATCTCATACAGGACCCACCCATTATGGATCTTGTCACACAGTTGTGCTGCCTGTCCCTTGATTTCTAATAAACTCAGTAATTATAACTCATAATTGCATAGAAAATGCGTAGATAGGCCTGTGGGGACAGATCACGTAAAATTAGGGACACAGAAAGACAACTGCTCATGAATTTTGGTGGAATTCTCTTTTCAAAGTAATTTTTTTCCTTTAGGAAGGATTGTTTCTTAAACGCAGCCTGCACTTCTCCTCCACGGTGTGCTCCTGAATCAAGAGGGGCTTCATATCTGGATGACCAGGGAACTTATTAGAGAGGATTCCATTCTGCCCAGCTGTAGCAGGACTGGACACCTGGATCCACATCCTGACACTTTCTCCTGCAACCTGGCAATCGTTAATTCTGAATTTTTGATGTTTCATCTTGGCTGGTTTCTTCAGCCATTTTATATCTCACCTCTCAAACGCAGTGCTTGTTTACCTCAGGGTGTCTGAAGCTCTTTCTGATGCTCAGGTAAAAGACACCTGCCACACGGGCTCAGAAAAGACATAAATTGCTCTATTATTTGCAACACTTTAAAATATCTCCATCTATTAAAATCACACTGTGACTGACAAGGAACCTGCTGAAAGGCCAGGAGAATTCTTTCTCTGCTCTTCCAGGCAGACAATAACCTGACATCCTTTTTGTTACGTCTTGACTTAGAATATAGGATGGGAAACCACGTCTTTATTTTAGTGATACACTTACAGCAGTGGTGTTAAGCACAGGACCAGAAGCAGTGCGCTGACACTGCTCAAAGGAGAATGATGTGGAATTACCACAGAACGGGGGACAAACACGCGCATCGGCCACTTCTGGGCAAATATTATGTGAAATCAGGTTAAAATCTCTTTAACTGTGTGCAGAGAGTTGTGACCCCCCAGCACTCCCCGCTGCACTCACCATGTAGCCGGGGGCACAGGAGCAGGCCCCGGTGACGCTGTCACAGTCGGCCCCGTTGTGGCAGGGGCAGGCCAGGGCACAGCCCTCGCCGTAGGACCCCGGGGGACACGTCTCGTTGCAGTAGAGCCCAGCCCAGCCAGCCTTGCAGCTGCACTCTCCAGACAGGGGGTGGCAGCTACAGAAGAGACAGACAGACACTCGTGAGGTGTGGACAGGAGGGGAAAATACAGCCCAGTACATCTAAGAACAGGGCAAACCTAAAGCTGTTAAGGATGGTGAACATCAGCAGCCGTGTAATTTAGGAAGGGAACAGGGAACATGGTGCTGAACACCAGCCTGGCACAGCACCTCCAAACACCTGGGAACTGCCACAGCACTGGTTATTTTACACCTTCAAGTTCATGCTCTTCTACTCTCAAATCAAGGTGAGTTGGATCACTGCCATCAACCATGCCACAATCAATCCATGGGCTGTAGGATATGTATGTGGTGGACTATCTGGCTGTAACACAGCCACTATGGATTTTTAGGGTTAGGAGAAACTCCAGTGGAGGGAGGAATGCAATCAAGAGAGTTGTGAAGGTAAACCTGAGTTCTGGGGCACAATACTCTGTTCTGTTCTGAATATTCTATTCTGACTCCACCAGGGAGGTGGTGGAGTCACCACCATGCCTTGGAGGTGTCCAAAAAACACATGGATGTGGCACCTGAGGACACGGCTTAGTGGTGAAGATGGTGGTGGTGGTGAGTTGATGGTTGGACTTGATGATCTTAAAGGTCTTTTCCATTCCATTCTATTCCATCCCATCCCATTCCACTGTCACTTGTGTTTCAGGAGTGCCAGCTCAGCAGAACTTTTCAGCAGGCACGGGTAGAAAGGAAAGTGCTTTGGAAGGGAAAAACCTTCTCAGAAGAGGAGTTTTGCAGGGAATGTTCAATCACAGTGCCCAGAACTGAGCACCACCTGAAGCCTTGGGATTTATCTGGGGCAGGAGCCACCAGGAGCCCTGGGACTGAACTGAGGACCAGCAGGGAAATGAGTCAAGTTCTTTATGCTGAATAATGAGCAACATTAATCCTCTGGCTTTCATTTCCATGCAGCCAATTCCACACCACGTGGAGAGAAGAGGAGAAAGGAGAATTGAGCCCAAAAGACCGGACAATGTCTGGTCCTTCTGGATCTGTGGGTGGAAGACTCACCCTTTGCTCCTCCCACCATGAAACAGTTTATTCAGCATTTTTCCTCCCAGGTTTCCTTAGGGCACTTCTTTCCCACATCAGGAGAGCCCAGCTGAGGCTGTGGTACCATAATGGCTCTGCCCAGCCCTCAGTGAGGGAGATGAGAAACAATATTTGTACAAATCCCATTTTCTTTATCATTCTCAGAACAAGAAGGATGGACTTCTGCAAGGTGGCACCTCTCTGTGGACCTGTCTCCTGTTTTTTTGCCTCACAGAAACGATTCATTTTCCTTTATAATTATTTATTGCCACAGTTTAAGATTGTAGACATGACTGAATGGGTTTCTTTACACCTATAAAATTAATATTGTATATGTTAATTTTCAAGGTAACCTCATAAAATGTAATTTCCAAGTATGTTTCAGGCAATTACTGGTAGGAGAGGTTAGTCATATACTGTTGTGACTAAGAAGGATCAAATTCTGTAAGTGTCATATGTTTCATCATAAATAGTGTTTTACTGACTAATTAGAACAATTAATCAGCTTAACAAACTACCATCCATGAAATTCTTCTGACAAAGCGGTCCCTGAAATTATGGTTGTTCACAAAGCACCTCTTAACATTCAGATGAAAATAATAAAAGCCCATTTTTTCCCCCTCTGTGTCCATTAATCATTACCTAATAGGAGCAGAAAGCTCAACATTAAAGGAGTGTTTTAAAGTGGATTTTGTGTTTCTCTGTTTCCACTACTACTGCATGTATCATATGCTTCCATGAGAACTGCATCTGTTGGCTAAATTAAATCTTTCAAAGGTAATGTATGATCAGGGCAGCTGGAATCAGTCTATGACAATTCAATTGAAAATACTACACTCGGGAAGAGCTTTTACTCCAAGGTTGGCTCCTTCATCAACACGGACAGCTCTTTTGCATGGATGCAAGCTCTGTACCCAGGACTAAAAATCCTCCTGACAGGTACTAAAATAAGAATCAAAAAGCAAACAGGCTTTGCAGAAGAATCTGCAGGAGATGGGGGGGCTTTGACTCCAAACCAAGGGCTAGTAGAAGGCTGAGACCACATTCAGCCCCACTAAAGCCCTGTCCACTCTTCCATGGGACTGTGAGCCAGGAAAATCCCCCACAGATGTTTGGGTCCCTCCATCCATACAATGTTCCTGTTGCAGCAAGGACAATTCTGTCACCAGCCTGAGCAGATCAGGGTTTTGTTTCTCTCCTGAGTCAAAAGCACTTGTTTGGTAATTGAGGTGCCTGATGCAGCGTTAACTTGAGCAGGGCTGAGACTGAGATGCTTTTCCAAACTGCAGAAAGCAGCTGTTCCCTCCCCAGTCCTGCCAGGGAATCTTGGCCACATAAGTCACTCTTTCTGCTTCATCTTTCTCATTTCTAAAGTGATGCCTTTCTTCCTTTGGAAACCCTTTTAAGATCTGCAGCTGATATCACTAAACAGTTTTTACATTAATTCTTTTTTTTTTTTTATCTGGGAGGTATGAACTATTCCAGTAATTAAAGTGAGTAGAGTTACATAGTAAATATGTTGCAGCTCATGATGTAGTGTAAGTCTGGATGTATGTGTGTGTCAGGAATGTTTCTCTTCTGCTGGCATTTTGTACAACTTCATTCTGGTCAAAATATGTACCCAGACACATAACATAGTTCAGAAATTCATCTATCATCCATCCAACCATCCGTGCATCCAGACTGCCCAGTGATCTAAATGCTCTTTGGACTGAGGTTGGAAAGCTTGAGGCAGAATAAAGCTTGAATAGGAAGTACAGCTAGAAATTTGTATAAATATTTCCAGAATCCCTCCCTTCCTGCTCTGAAGGCACCTGTCAAGGCCAGAAGTCCCTGGAACGTTTTGCCAGCACAGGTCACAGTGTATGGGGGGCATTTCTTGTGCCCCCAATAAACTGAAATCAATGAACACAAAGGATTCCTCTAGAGGAGGATCACTGAATGGGTGGGGGAGAGAACGGGAGGGTTCCAGAAGGATCCCAAAGGCAAACCCACTAACACCTGCCTTCCAACCCTTGCTGGGAGCAGGAAGGGAACCTTCCACACTTCCAGAACTTTGGCAGTGCTGTACAATAGCAGTTTGCGTTGAATCTTAACAACTTGCATTTCTTCAAGTCTCCTGCAGCACAGGAAGGAAGAGTGTAGAGAAAACCCAGGGTGAACACAGGCAGCCAAGTGTTCCTGGGGCTCCAGGCCAAGCTGAGGTGGGAATGGAGCTGTCCACTGGCTGAGAAGGAAAGTGCTCCAGGGCTCCTTCTGCACTTTGGAAGCCTCTGTATGATCCCTTCTGAGCCACATTTACAGCAATAAAAGTTTTATTTGTAAGAATTTTACTACCTGAACTGAAAAACACAAAGGCATTTTTGACCTTTAAGTTTTTTAAGCATCTAATTTTGAGGAAATTGGAGGAAAACAGGTAACTTTCTTAAGGCAAATTGGAAAAAGAAATGCTTTAGACAGCACAGTCTGTTCCAAACTCTGAATTTGTTCTCCACACATCTTTCAGCCAAAACAACTTCTTCCCAGAGAATTTTCTGACTTTCTGTTTATACATTAGCACCAGTCACCTCATCTTCATTAGCAACAGCCCTAATCCTTATTTAACAGTATTTTCTGTCTCTTGGTGTCCATACTACATTCAGTTTTCCTTACTAAAATGCCTCTTGCTTTAAAGAAGTGGCCACAGTGAGGCTGCAGGGCCACTCCTTCAGTCCAGCACGTCTTCAAAGCCAGTCTCATTCAGCACATTATCCACTCAGGTCAAGGCAAAACTTCGCACAAACTCTGTGGGGTTTGGTCCTTCCAAACCTGTCAGTGCTGAGGCAAGAATTAGAGCCTCTGAAGATCTACTTTGTCACAGTGCCTTCCTTCCCTTCTCGTGTCTGTGACCTTGGAAAGACATTCCCAAAGGCACATGGCTCCACACCAGTGTTCAAGAAGGCTGGGTGGCCAAGACTATTCCAGCTGTTCATTTTCTTCCCTGCTTCAAAGACCAAGCAGGATTATTCCTTTCCAAAACTGTAGGCTGTCTCAACATGGGCTTTTTGCAGAGGAGGATTTTTTACAGGTGTATCCTTTCCTGTGGAAGGACAGTCCAAGTCACCAACATGTTCTAAATCACCTTTTCTCAATCTCAGTCGAGGGGTTGTTCAAACGTCCCGCACAAAGTGCCTTTCACTGTGCTCTGATGCAGAAATTATTGGATGATGTTCTTCAACCTTTACCACGCTAGAGGTTAGACTGGATGATCACACTGATCTCTTCAGACATTAAAACAGATAGATCTATGAAAGTGGAAAAGCTGATTGTGTACTTCTTAATGTTCCTCCTCAACCTGCTCCTCAAAGCCCCCAGAACTTTCTGTTCCAGTCAACTCTCCAATAACCAGATGAAATGAGTCAAAACCAGGGACAGGAGCTTCCCTCACCTTCTACAAGTATTTATTTAATTATCCTACACACCTGAGGACCACAACAAGCAGCCAACAGCTCAAACTGCTTCTGGGGAAAATTGATGGCTGTCAGTAAATGAATCACTTTGGAAGACACCAGTTCCAGTAAGGATAAACACTCAGGGAGGAATGGGAGGAGGAGGGTGGGAAGAGGAGTGTCCTGTATGGGACTGGTTAAACAATGAGCAAAAAGATTTGTTCAGAACATGGAGTGCCTTTGGAAAAGGTCATTTTCCATCAGCTCAGCAATTGACAGCACTCCTGGAGCTCACTGAAAAGTGGAAAGCCCAAATCCCATGAATGAATGAAAGAACATTTGCAGATCTACAGCTTGCTGATATCTCTTTGTTCCATAACAGCAGTGATAAGATGTAGGAAAAAAGGGAGATTTTATCAATGGAGAGACTAGACTCATTTATTAAGGAACCAGAGATACCATCTCAGCAGAGGATGCTGCAAGGGAGGCTGATGGAGCACTGATGGGAGGGAAGGAATAAAATGTACCCATCAGGCAGCAACCAGGAACAGGGTGTGTAGGAATGACCACATGCCCAGAAAAGAGCTGGGAGAGGATTCAATCCTTCACCTTTCTGAGCTCTCTCAAACCTGAGGCCTCCTCTTTCCTCACAGCTGGATGGTGCCAGTCTGTTCCTTCAGGAAAGACCCTCTGGCAAACCCTCAGAGCACCCCTCTGAGTAACACAGGATGAATTCTTGCACCCTCAAACCCACCTAAAATACTCTTACTGAATTGAGCACTAAGCTGAGAAACATCAGCCAAGCTCAGCCTTGCCCACGGCCTGCAGTCCTTCCACTCTGTTTACACCTTTATGGGAATATGGGCTCACAGGCAGGTTCCTGCAGGCTCAGGAGGGGTGAAGACACAGTGTCAGCTACTGTCCATGAGCATATTCCCACCCTCCAGCACATCTGAAGAACAGTTTACCCTGAGGAGCAATTCAGGTTATGTTTACCCCAGGTTGGAGTCATGCACAGTGCCAGGTGCTGCAGTGTGTGACACGCAGGGATTTACACCTCAGCTCCCTCTGCAGTAACTCCTGAGACATCCCACATCCTCAGCACAACACAGCACTAACCTTTTGTGTGAAATGTGCAGCTCATGCCTCAGGGATGTTATTTTTGCAATGATTTCATGATACACAACATAATCTGAAGCGATGGAAGCCTGTTGTACAGAGCTCCCTTTGAGCCTCAAACCCTTTGGATCCTGGCTGTCAAACCCAGGAGTGCTGCAGCTTTCTTGCTCTACAGGACCTGTATCACCACAATTACAAGTTTTTAAATAATCCATTGTGAGCTCTGACTTTCAGTTAAACAAAGCCTCACCACTCACAGCTGAATTCACAAAGAAAATCACCTGTTTACTCCCAAGACTGAGACAAACAGGGTCTATCTCAAGCACACAGACAGATTTGCCTGAAGTGTTTGTGTGTGTGAGTGTGAGTGTGCACACAAATTAGGAGCTGTTGCTTGCATCCATAATTGGGGGTGTTTATATTTCAGCAGGCAGCAAGATCCAAGGCAGGTTTGTCATCATCTGCAGGACAGTCAGGTCCCCACCTGTCTGGTTGGAAATTGAGGAATGTCTGTACCAAGGGCATGTTTGCTCGGGCATCAATTATCCCACCTCCCTCTGAAGCACACACAACCCTAAATTGGCTCTGCCTGCTGAACAGGAATGGGCACAAAAGGGGGGGAATGGAGTGGGAGTCGAGGGGCTCAGCATGGAGCAGGTGAGGAATGTGGCACTCAGGTCCATCAGACAGTGCAGGCCGGCGGGGTTTGGCTGTCCAGGCTCCTTTACTGCAGGGGAGGGAGGGAGGAATCTCCAAACAGCAATTCCAGCAGTCAGTAAACAAGGCAGGGAGTTACAAAAGGTAACAAAGAGGATAATAGGGAAGAGTCTTAAATTCTTTCTTTTTTGTTTTTCCAAGGTTTGGAAAACTTATTCAAGCCTGCAATGGGAAAGTCAATTCAAGGTGCTCAAGTGGCTCTGGCTCTTAGAAATGAGAACCTCAAGAATAAGATCCTGAAAAAAGCAAAAAAAGGGAATAAGACATCAAAACCCTACCTTTTGAGCGAGGCTGATTCCACCGTAGGTACAATTCCCTGGTATTTATTTTCCTGAATATTTCCCACACGCACACAGTGAGTGAGGAGCAGAAATAGGCTCACATGAGGAGTCTGTTTTGACAATGTCGACCGTGTTACAGTTCCACAGACTGACTCAGGGATATTGATTTCAGTCTATTTATACATCTGCCTCAAGTGTTTGCAACAGGGTAATTTGCCACAAGACATAAACTGAAGCAAATTAGGTTTCATTTTGAAAGTCCCCTTGCTGTCTGTAGATCTAACAAGAAAACCCATGGCATAAAAAAAAAGCCAAAATGATGGATTTGAGTAAACATATCTCTATTTTTAAAACTTCAGTGGGTTATTATACACACATATGGGCATCACCTGATGGTCCTTATGCCTCCAAGACTTTAGTTACAGGATAAAGCTGTGTGTCAGGTTGTTTCAGATGTTACCAGAGCTGTTAACAGATCTGTGCTCAGTAGATGGCTGGACTGAGGCTTATGGTTACAAACCTGAGGTCATTTAAATCCAAGCTTTGTAATCCAGAGGAACTGTCTATGCTTGAACTTAAAACTACAGAGAAGAAGGCAGTGTGTGCAGTTAATTGAATTCTTCCCAATGCTTTTATTTGACCAGTCCCTGCACTGCAATATTACATGATGTACATACCTGAGGGTGTTGGTAATATTGCAAGGACATCTCTTGTTGCATTTGAGGCCATAAAACCCTTCTGGACACATCCTTTCTTGGCAGTAAATCCCTTTAAAGCCGGGGTCACAGATGCAGGCTCCATTGACGTGGTAGCACTTGGCCCCGTTCTGGCAGTCGCAGGTTTGTGAGCACTGGAAGCCATATGTCCCGATGGGACACTCCTCCTGGCACCTGCAGGGACACAGGGGACAGGGCAGCCAGTCAGAGCTGCAGCCTTCTGCACAGCAATGTCTCTGTTAAGGAACTAAATACAAAATCACTGCTTTTTAGTTAAGTCATACACTGTGAACCGATGGTCTCGTCGGGGTGATGTGATATCCCGGGCATGGAAAGGGCTGTTACCTGAAACTGCATTAATCTCTGCCCAATTAGAGCTGCAACATTTGCATTACTTAATATTACCTCTGTTCACAAAGTGCATTCTTCTCTCCTGCACCTTGACAGTTCTATTCACCAACCATAAGAAATTGATGTGGAATAAATGATTAAAAAAACCCCTCGCCTGTTTGCTTTCTCTTTATCACAGAAGGACTGTGCACCTTCCTTGAAAGCACATGATCCTCCTAGTGATGCTGAGGGTTCAAAGGGAATGTGGTCTAAGCAATACTGAGCAAAGTTTCTCCAGCAATGTCCAGTTTTACTTGCCCTCTTTGCTGTCATTGCATCAGCTTTATACCAACAAGGAGAAAACAAACTCCTTTGTCTTTTGTGTGTGTTCTGAGTAACTAAAGCTTAAATTTACTTTTCTTCTCCTACTCCAGGGCTGCTCAGCAGCATAAAATCCCAATAAAAATCACTTTCATGCTCCTTAGTGAAGAATCTTCTTCAAAATTGCTGTTTTTAATATTTGATACACCCAAAAATGGAACCTGCAAACACTCTACGCAGATTGTTTTGAGTTGCACCTTCCATGCACTGTTTTAAGTATTTCCCTACTGGATACATTCTCATATCTGCCAAAAAGTCTGTCTCCTTGTCCTACACAACCAATTTAAGAGTTCATACTATTTCCTATTTGGAAAAGCTCAGTCAAGGTCCTAAAGAAAGCAACTGATTCTGTGCTTGACATAATTCAGTGGTTTTGAAATTCTGCAACGAGTCAGGACTGGAGTTTACATGATCCACCGTGAAATACAGACAGGCCTTTTCAGTTCATAAAAACAGCAAAAGAAGGCAAGAAAAGCCCAATTCCCTTATCACATGGATGCCAGACATTGGAAATTGCCTATCAGCATTAATTTAAGCCTGAGCATTGATTAAAGTGTATACTGTAAACTCGGTGGATGGAGGCAATTGTTAAATGTCTTTCTGCAGGTCATTTCACAGCTGGCAGGTGAGAGTTAATATAATGATCAGTAATAAAAGATTAATGTGTGATGCAAGGCAGGCAAAACTGCAATGAACACAGGCAGTATATAAGAAGGGCATTACTTTTGCAGCTTCAGATTATCACGTTTTACTAAAAATAAATGAACACAGCGAAAGCCCCAGCCAGAGACTGAATTCCAGCAGCCACCACCACAGCTGCTGGTTACACATCCAAGGTGAGGAGTTCATATGAGACCCAGGGAGAGAGGAGCTTGTGACAAACAGGGAAAGAGCCTGGAGAATCCCCAGCAGCAGAACAAGCAAAGAAAGGAGGGGAGCAGTGGGGCTGGAACACTCCCAGCAAAGGAACTGCAGGAGGAGGGGACTGAGCTCCTCACTCCCCACTGCTGCACAGACCCTGCTCCTGAGGAGAGCTCTGCACTCAACGGGATGAACACTTAGTCAATAGTGCTCTGTATCACTCCATATTTATAGAAGATGAAGCATTACCTAGCAGGGAGAAAAGCATCTGGAAATGAAATATTGACGACCTAATCCATTTACATAATTAGCCTTTTTCTACTAACAATTTAGCCAACTTATTTATTTGGAGATCAAGCAGCTCCCGCTAATGAATTTTATACAAAGAATACTAATAATGACTCCTCTGGAACATGAGAATAATCACAGCAGGAATTAGCTTTCTACTTAAACATCTTTCCTTTGCAACATATCAATCTAATGTGTCCATAGCACCATTAACAACCAGATACATTGTTCAATTAAATTACAAAATGAGCTGCTAAGCCCTAGTTATGTTTCTTGTTTAATTTACATTGCTTTCTGCCTATCTGGGGAGATTCGTATTATAATATCCACTGAACTTTAATATGTACTATAATTATTTGGGTTGGGATAGGATAATATGGCTGTCACCTGTAGAATTAATGGAAGCAATTTCACAAAATATTAAACAGAAGACAGCCTGCTTAACAGATGAACTTAGTACATGGACCTAGATTTTTTTCCATAATTTCTTTTTTGTTAAGGAATAATGCTGTAAAGTTTGTTAGGCTTTTCTCTTTCTTTGTTTTGAAACAGTGATCATGTTTATGTAGGACAGACGAATATGAAAAGCCATCCAAAATACACCGACCAGGAGATAAGAGATCCAGCTACAAACACAACAACAGGAGAATAAATCTGCTCGTATAGTTCTAAAAAATGTGATATTTATTCTGTTAAGATTCAACCTTTAGATTTAGTGGCAAAATGGAAAACAAAGCTAAACCAGCATGTTCGCTTTTCCTGTCAGGCACTGAATTGTGAGACACTCCATCCTCAGCTTCTAACTGTGCCTCTGCTATTATTCCTTTCCAGTTTGTAAAACATACATTTCCTTGACAGATCCAGTCATTTCTGTGAGCACAAAGCATCCTGCAGTTATTAACAGTGCCTGCCAATTTCCTGGAGATTTAGTGCAGTGCCACTCTTGGAAAACAGGTAGGGAACAAAAGTGTGGCAATTACACTCACACAGCCCTGTCTGACCATTTCATCTCCACAGATATTTATCTAACTCTCTGTTATTATCTTCTGCACACCACGATGAACCGTAGCATTATACAGTACTTATTGATAATTTAAAGATGATAGTAGGCAAAGTGTATTTATATTTTTATTGCAGGTTATTCACAATATCAGTTATTATTAAGAAGATTTCTTCAGTGCCTTGTAAGACATGAAAGAAAACACTGTTTTGTGGTGCAGCAGACTCTCCTGCTCTCCTTGCAATCGTGCTGTAACTCCCGTGAGATCCAGAGAGTAAAACGAGAGTTTAAGCTAAACTGGAGCTGACTGATCTGTCCCATTGCCCACATGGGGTGAACACAAAGCCAAGGAAAGCAATTTAGACTCTTTAAAGACCTTGTCCTTACTCCTGCCCTCATCAAATTTGCTCAGCAGAGCCCCCAGCCAGGTGAGGGCAGGTGAGTCTGTTCAGGACAAACCAGAGGGGCACAGCTTCACTGGGATATAATGGGCCTGAAGTCTCCCTCCCTTTATAGAAGGGGGATTAAAGGCTGACAGATAAACCTGTTTTAACCTTCCAATAACCTGTCTGAAAGGTGGGAATTTCTGCACTTTTGCCCTGCTGCTGGCAGAGCTTTCCTACCTGCCTGTTTTAATCCTGTTTCCATTCCTCCTTCCACACCCCTGCATTTCTGCTCTCCCGCCTCTCCCTTCGGTGTCTTTTACTTCCCTGCTCCAGGATGAGGAAGGTGAGCCATTCCTTAGGGTTTTGCTTGGATACAGGTCCACAATGTGACCTTCCCTTTCTTCTTTTCCACCTCTCCCAACTGGCTGTGCCTTATTTTTTTCCCTCCCTGCTTCTGTCTTCCCAAGAAACATCTTTCTTTGGAGTCCAAATGTCTCCCACTTTTCTCCAGGCCCAGACCTGATGACTCCACAGTCCCTTTGCTCAAGGACAATCCTTGTGAGCTCCTGCCAGCTCTGCCCTGAGGTGTTTCCTCTGCCCAGTCTCTCCCTGAGCCGCCTTCTCCAGCCCCTCTGGGAGGACAATCAGCAATAAAACCACCTCCCCATCTCCTTCCCTCATCCCCAAGGGGGATGCAGGCCGATGGCTGGGAGATCCCAGCAGCTCCAGCACTGTTCATTCACCTACAGCCAGGAATTCATCAGGATGTGCAACAACCAAATGAGGAGACCTGGAACCAGAGGCTCTGTCAGCCTTCCCAAGCACGGCCAGCGCTGGGAACAGCTTGGGATTGAATGTGGTCACCAGTATAAGGGTCAGGATGGGCAGTTGCTTCTTTTAGTGAAAAAGTCTCCACAAGGAGAGAAACAGTAATTCTCTGGTAGCCCATGGCTGGAAGCACTGTCTCTAGGTGGAGGATGGGGAACAGAGTCACACCGATGTCTTCTCCACTCAATTATTTAGAAGTAATTAGTTTTTCCACCACATCCAACCCCATAAAAATCCTGAGCCTCCTCCAATTATCACTGTCCAAAACACGGACACAAGGAAGTTCCCTGTGTGATGGAAGGAGCAGCCTCCTGACCCCCCAGGGATGGGGGTTGGATGTTTTTGTGCTACAGAGACCTGCTGGTTACACAGCGAGGCAACAAAGGAGGAACTCCAACGAGCTTTGCTGCATAAAAGCATAATTGTAGCATTGTCAGTATATTGAGATGAGCTTCCTAAAGCTCATAAAAACAGGGAATACACAGGAGGAAGGGCTGTAGCACAGCACACTGGTGAGCTGTGCCCACCGAGGTGCCTCAGCCCAGCCCCCAGTGAGAGCTGCCCCGGGAGCTGCTGTAACTGCACCTCCCAACCTCTGGCAGGCAGGATCAGCTGGAGGGCTGAGCCAGCACGTGCTGCAATCCCTCATTGACTTTGCTGTGTAGTCATTTTGCTGAATCCATGACACCTTGGTAAAACAATATTATCATCTCCTCTGATCGATTCATGGGTGAAGGCTCTCGTTTATAAATTTTGAGGATTTATCACCTTTTGCTGGTGGCTGAGATGGATCAGTGCTACAGCAGCACAGAGGGCTGAAGGAGACATTAAACTTGCTGTGTTGCTTACTCTTGAGGATATTAATTTGTACAAAGATAGTTCATTTACATATCTTGTAAACATGTAATGCTCTCTATTAAATTTATCACTGTAAATATCTAAATTAAATTTAATCCATTAAATTTTAAAAGTTATATTAAAAACCCCCGTAAATGGAGAGCATTGCCAATAAAAAGTAATAACATTGCCACATTTATATTGCTTGAAGTGCTTCAGAAGGATGAACCTAATTGGAGCAATAGAAACATAACACCATTTTTCAGAGGGGAAGATTGTCCTAGAAGGGATATAAATATTGACAATCCCTGGTTAAAATGAAAGGCTTTTGGGGGGTTGGTTTTTACCTGTCTCCTATATAGCCAGCTGTGCAGATGCATTTTCCTGTCACGGGGTCACAGTGTCCTCCGTTGTGGCACGGACAGTCCTGGCTGCAGTTGATTCCAAAGGTTCCAGGAGGACATGGCTGTGCACACACCAGCCCCTGGTAATGTTGCAGAAAGAGCAATATTTCAGTCAACATTCATAATGCAATAAATTTCTATATGCAGCTGAGATTTTTATTGTCCTTCTTGCTAAACCTAGGAGTGAGGGTAGCAGCAATATTTTATCTGTATAAGATGTGCTAAAGACAGTCTGAAAACTCTGCTACCAGAGTAAATGCCTGTCTAACTCCAGGAGGGATTTTTCTCACCACTGTCCACTCCCTGATAATTCTCTTCTCTGGATCTCCCTGTAAACTGCAGCTGGAGATTCACTGCCCCTTGTAAAGGTCCAGGAAGGTTTGGGAGAGGTTAAAAGCAAACAGAGAAGGCTACAAACCTTCTGGTATGTGCTGGTGGGGTTTTGTGAAATGGAGAGGCTGAAATGTTGTTGGACACACCCTGAGTAGAGAACATTTGGGAAGAAAGGGATTATTGGAAAGTTTGCGCTGGGAGGATGAAGTTGTGTGAGTTCTGATAGTCTGTGATCATCTCTCTTGTTCAGAAAGTCCCTCCTCAGCCAACCACAAAGAAGACCAAATACACCTGCTGGAGGAGTCCTGTACTACCCTTCAGATCCCACCTACTCCATTCCCTCTGCTCCCATCCAGCCCCCACACTCAGCACAGAATGGCACCTGCCAGTGCCCTGTGTAAGCCACGGAGGGGGCAGGATGGGAACAAGAGGTTGGGAGAGTTGCAGAAAGCCCCCAGGAATGACACAGAAGCATCACATCAGCAGTGCAGCAGCCTTTGGCCAGAAGAAGGGATTTTGCAGTGGAATATCTGCCTAATCCCTGAACATCAGCAGGATGCCTCATTCACCATCCTCCCAGCTCCTTATCCCCAGCCCTGGAGTCACATCTCAGTCCCTGCCCTGCCTCAACTCCACACCTTGCTGGTGACCTCCTTTCCCCATTTTATGCTCCCAGCCTCTGCCCTCCTGCCTCTTTATTCCAGTCCTCCTCAAATCCTTGTTGCAGACTCCCTTTTAGTGCTCTCCTTCATCTGGACCCAAATCCCCACCTGTGAGTTGTTTCCTCCTTTCCCTCCCTGTTTCACCACCCCCGAGAGCGAAGCACGGACAGACTGTCCCTGTTGGGCACCCTGGCACTGCTCACAAGGAAAAGCAATTCCTGGGCAAGCCTTGCTCCAGCTGCTCAGCCCCAAGGCAGGGAATGCTCACTGTTGGTTGGGGTCATGTATTTGGAGAATTTACCTGCCAAACTCTGGTGGTTTCCCCTCTGGGTATCCCATAATATCCCCTGCCAAGTATCGAAGCCTTACAAGGATTTCCCCAGACTTTCTTAGAAGTTGCATGAATGTTGTTTTTTTTTTCTGGGAGCAAACATAAAGCCCAGGGCTGGGATCCAGCTGAGGAACTCCAGCCAAAACAAGGCTGGCAGTGCTGGGAGCTGAAGTTGTGGTCCTATAATGGAAAATGTTTGGCATCTGCAGCGAGTGGTGCTGCTGCCAGTGCCACCACAGTGCCCAGTGTGAGACAGAACCAGTGTTTGTCTGGCCCTGGGATTATTTGGTTTAATCTCTCAGAAGCCTTGTTTCCCTAAGCAAACCCTGAGGGCTCTGGGTTTTGAACAAAGCACATATTAGACACAATTTATACAAAATATAAACCAGGAATATAACGGCTGCTTTCACTCCTCGGGGCTGGGGAAGTTTAGCTGTGTCAACAACCCCAAAGTGGAGAGGCTGCTCTTCAATGTCACCATAAAACAGACATTTTGAGCCTTTCCCAAGCAGTGAGAGGTGGCTGCTTGGCTGTAAAACAGCCAGGTTGGCCTCAGTTCAAGAACTTTCAGATTACAGCGTTAAAAACCGGTGTCTCTGGACTTGAGTAATACACAACACTATATATCAGAAAACCTAAGTGTCCATTTATCTTGATAATAAATACTTTCTCCCTTCATGTCTCAAAAGGAACAGGATTTCTATCAGCAAATGATGAGAAAGCAATACTCTGGGATGCATCCCCCCAGAGCCAAGAGGATCTTCAGGCGTAGTTTTTGCATTAATACGTACTCAGGGAATTCAAAACATCCCTCTCTGGAGGATCAAATGTCAGCCCAACGTTTCCTGCTGCTTATACATCTAATCAGCAAAGTTCACCCCATCAGCACCTTTTTTAAGGCCCTGATTTCATCAGCTTCTGCTTTTGACATCGTTTGCTGTATTTTGTGGGACAGAAAAGATTTTTTTCTGCTCCATTTTCTCATATATCCCTATGTTTGAAAACCACCACAGAAAGAAAACCAGATAAAACCACAAATTATAGCTGTTTCATAAAGGCCAGATTCAATGAGAAAGAACTGATCAGCAGAATGTGTTTTATTAGCATGGCACCACGATGGTCTGGGACCCAGCAGGGTGTGTTGCCAGTGACAAATGTTCTGTCATGCCAGCAAAGATTGCAGCTCTCCTGAGCACAGAGATCTAGTCCTTCAAAAGTGCTTCTGAGAAGCACTGTAAATGCTAAATTAACTTCTCTCCCCACTTCCTGAGAGTGCTTGGAGAATTTAATACAGCAAATGAGAAAGATGTATAGAATTAAACCTGTAAATTGTTAATGAGACCCTAAAGCAGCCTCCCACTGGCTCCCACAGCCACAAAGGCACACAAGTGGAAAAAGCCCAAAGTTGTGGGATGCTGGCAGTCATATTTTGTTGACTGGCTCAACAATATATGCTGTCAGCCACCATCCTCCTGGTGAAAAACCCTTGGGACAGCAAAATCCCAAAGGACATCATCCATACAACTTGTTCTTCTGGGAGATTCTGCACTGGGTGGGAGGAAAGAAATCACAAGTCATGAAAGAACCAGGCTTTGGAGGTGGTACATCCAAGGAAGAAGCTCAGAACCCCAAAACTTCCTCCTATTCCACTCCCTGCCTCCCCCTGCATGTCCCACCAGGCCCCCAAGGGAGCTGAGCTCCTGTTAATAAGCCTGCCCAGGAAAGGATAAAAGTTGCAGCTCATCCAGCAGCAATAAAGTCCAAGTGGATTTGCACTTGCATAAATCCAGGGAGAATTCTCTCCTTTCAAAATGATGGTATATTCAGTACATACATGCAATCTCAAGCCTCAAAATCAGCAAGTAAAATTCCTGGTGTCAGAGAAATCCTCGGTGTGAAGTAAAATGAATGCTGTCTAGCAATCCCATCTCGCCTGCTCGTTCACAGCCCCCTCATGTCTCACTTCCCAAACCATTCCAACCACCAAGAGTTAAAAATATAGCATGAAAAAAAACATATTTTATCCCTCTCTGTGTACTGAATTACCAGCTTTTCATTAAAACCCTGGAGAGACCCTTTATACTTAAAATCTCAACATTTACAAGCTGAGTGCTTTTACTTATAATTTCAGTTTCTTTCTGCAGAATACTTGATCTCTCTCTTCAATTTTCAGTTATGCTTGTTTCAGACATCAATTGTTAACTCCAGGGTTCCTCTGGGGACAGAGCAGCCAACAACACAGTTTTCAGAAAAGTCTCTCTGGGCTCCTAAAAATGCAAAGAAGGAACTGCAGGCTGTAAGAACTGGGCAGGAGTGGGCCAGGATACAACCAGAGCTGCTGTGCAGCCCCAGTGCTGTGGCTCTTTTTTATAGTCTCTGCTGCATCCTAAAAGACATGTAAAAATTCCTGTTCTATTCTGATATTTTTATCTGTTTATTGATGGTTTAACTTTGAAAAAGAAAACTCCTGATAAAAACAGTTCAGGAAGGGTACAGCAAACCAACTCGGATTCTGAGAAATCTTGGCACGCAGAAGAGGAGATGGAAAAAGTTGTACTTTTTCTTATGTTAATCACTTTACTGATCACTTCCTGGGGGAAGTGCCAGAATGGACTGATAGGCCCTCAAAAATATGTGAATTCCTTCCTTTAGCTCCCCCACTCAAGGAAAGAACCTTTTCTTTGCCTCCACTGAAGGCCAAGTGAAGGTAAGGTGTCATATTCATACCAAAGCCAAGGTAGAGAAACTCTAACTCTCCAGTTAGAAAGAGATTTTCCATACACATCTTCCACCAAAGATTATGGGCAACAATGTTCTTCTCCCACGCTCTCCCAAGCCACTGGCTCCTCATGGTTGGTTCTTCTGAACTCAAAGCAGCTGTGATCAAATGGAAGCAGCATTTGATGGATGGAAAGGAACTCCAGCAACTCTCTCACGTGTTCCAGCAGGTAGAAGGTCCCCAGCAGAAGCCACACACACATTTGTCTGATGATCTGCAGGGCCCTCCACGTAAAAATAAAAATTCAGAGCACTCGCACGCATTAAAATCCAGCCAGTTTGCCAAGAGACTAATTGTCAGATACAGGAAAAATGCCAGGAAATTTAGTACAGCTAAATGGTCTGAAGGCCTGTGAGACTTGGCAAACCCCAAGAGAGTTAATTATTGCATTATTGATAACGCTGAGGACTTTAAAAATGTTTGGCCTTGCTTTCTTGACACAGAGGATTAAAGGTTAGAGATTGTCTCTCTCCAGAGCAACCCCTGGTACAAGCAAATCTATGGCAATCAATGGGAATGATGCCTGAGGAAGGGCAGGACGCTGAACTGACCTCTGTCCTGGGTTCAGTCCTGCTCTGCTGACAGTCTGAGCCACTGAATTCTCCCTGATTCTCCCTTTCCCTCTCTCCTGAAGGGGAACGGGACAGTTTGTGCCTTTGACAATGTCAAGCTGAGCTTTGAGCTTCCTGTCCTGTGTGAGGGCAGTGTCCAAGGCTGCAGGGAATATTCCAAGGAACTGTAACCTGGAGACAATCCCTTTGTCTCTTAGTTTACCGTTGATTTTTAAACTTGATGATGGCAGATACCAGTCAGAGAACGCCAGAATCATTTAGGCTGGAAAAACCCTCTAAGGTCACTGAGTCCAACCAATGGCCAACGACACCACTCTCCCGAGCACAGAGATCCAGTCCTTCAAAAGTGCTTCTGAGAAGCATTGTAAAGTCTAAATTAACTTCTCTCCCTACTTCCAAGGGCAAGGACACCACTGAACCATGTCTCCAAGTGCCACATCTACGTGCTTTTTGAACACTTCCAGGGATGTGCCAGGTCCCAGAATTGTGTCCTGTGCACACAAAGATGATTCCAGTTTCGGAATCGTTGGAGCCTCGTGACAAATAACAGCAGATACACATGACAGGCACTCAGGGAAGCATCAGCTGAGACAGAGAGCAATGAAATGATTAGTTAATCATACTCCAAGCCCTCCAGGAGGCTGGCTGTGAGCAGTACCCACCGTCCATCCCGCGGGACAGGAGCACTCCCCGGTGATGTGGTGACAGACGCCCCCGTTCTGGCAGGGGCAGCGCAGCTCGCACTGGGCTCCGTGGCTGCCGGGGGGACACAGCTCCTCACAGCTTCGGGGGAGAGAAGGACAGAAAACAAAGAGATCAGCACAGGAAACAGCAAATGAGGAAAACCCACCCCACAGCTCATCCTGGGAGCCCTCGTGTGAACAATGAAACCTCTGCGAGCCTCAGCTGGCACTGCCAGTTAGCCAAGATTCCTTTAATTTCTGTTTATGTGCTGTGGATCCAGCCCTGGAAGGCTGATGCCTGTGTGTAACCTTTCAGCACATCCCAAACTCCACCCATCTCAACAGGACAACTCATAACTGTTAAACCAGCCCAGGAAAATACGAGTTGCAAGATGAAGCCTTCAATGTGAATTATGGGATGTGGCAATAAAAGAAACTGCAAATAGAATAAAAGGAGGGGATTAAAATGCTTGAAATTTCTCCAGTCGCTACTGAATGTTAACATTTGCAGTGTATAATGGACTGGCAAGGACTCAACATCATTTAAAGGCTATTTAAGCTCATTGAGTCTCTCTCAGTACTCGTGGGGAGGCAATGTAAAGCTAATCCCTGCAAAAAGAGTGTCTCCTACATTGGAGCTTTCAGCATCAAGGTTCTGAAACTACAGAGTGTTCTTCTCCTAATTGACTGTCCTCTGATGAGGATGTTCCTACCACATATCAGGGGCTGGCCCTGCTGAGAACTGACACACTGGTGTCAAGGAGAGCACTCCTAACAGTGTGCAGAGTCTTTAGCAGTGAGTGCTTCCACAGCTGAGGTCACAAGTCTATGAGGAAATCAGGTGCTAAATAAAATATTCAAAAGGTGTATCACTTATTTATGAGGGTTAACATTGTCTTTAGTTTTTATCTTCCCCTTCCTGCAGGTCAACAAATAATAATAGACTGCAAAAGTATTAAGTCACCTGTAATAGATCTCCAACCAAATTCAGTGACTGAATTCTCTTTTCCCCTTAAATAATTCTGAAAAACATAATTACTTCTGAAACTGCTGAAAGATCTCTAATGAGAACTGATGTTACACTCTGGGCAATTTTAAACAAGGAACTATTGCTTGCTGTCCTGAAATTAATATGCACATTTTGTGAATCCTACTGGTAAACCTTCCGTGTGGTGGATGGGGATTTAGCTACACGATTCTCGTTGAAGTTAATAGGAGTCACACGGCTAAATCCCTGCTCACCATGCTTAAAACCTACCCCCTAGATAGTAAGCTGATATAGTTAACAGCAATGCTTTCTCACTTAGATTGAAAGTCAAATAAATTGGGGATGGTTAAGTCTCATTTGATACTGCACTGGACTGCTAATGAGGAGAGAGACCAATTGCTTATAAAAACTCAGCTGTAATTTGGATTGTATTCACATTCTGAAATTAAGAACAGGTAGAGGTGTTGCACAAGCTGAAAAATATAAAGGATTTTAAAGCTCATTTTAGCACTGTATTGTATTTCATTATGATAGAATCATATAATCCTGGAATGGTTTGGGTTGGAAGGGACCTTAAAGATCATCTGGTTTTATGGCCTGCCATGGGCAGGGACACCTTCCACTAGCCCAGGTTGCTCCAAGCCCCGTCCAACCTGGCCTTGAACACTTCCAGGGATGGGGCAACCAAAACTTCTCTGGGCAACCTGTGCCAGGGCCTCCCCACCCTCACAGGGAAGAATTTCTTCCCAATATCTCACCTTAAACCTGCCCTCTGCCAGTTTAAAGCCTTTGTTATATCACTACACACCCTGTCCAGCTCTCCCGGAGCCCCTTTAGGTGCTGCAGACAGCTCTAACCAGCAGCAAAAAAGAGAGATTTCCTTTTTTAGTCTCCATTCTGCCACCTGATTTCTCCAAAGGCAAGTGCCAAACACGCCGTGCCCACTTTTTGCCAACCGCTCTCGGCACCGAAGGCGCCCGATGCAGGCGCGGAACCGCCCCCGTGGTGGCACTCACAAGACTCCGGTGTATCCGGGCGCGCAGTGGCACTCTCCGGTCTGGTGGTCGCAGGTGGCCCCGTGGTGGCACTGGCACTGGAGCTGGCAGGCCTTGCCGTAGGTGCCGGGCTCGCAGAGCTCCTCGCAGCGCCAGCCGCGGAACCCGTCGGCGCAGACACAGGCGCCCGTGATGGGGTTGCAGAGCGCGTCGTTCTGGCACTGGCAGCGGTTGCTGCAGTGGGGCCCCCAGTGCTCGCTGTCGCAGCCTGCAAACACACACTGCAAACTTCACCCTCCTGGCGGGCACAGGGCAGCCCGAGCGTCCCCTCCCAGCCCCACCGACGGCAGAGCTGGGTGCCCAAACTTTCCGAAGCAGCCCCAGACTTCCCAATGCCCAGTGACAGGTTCAGCGCGCGAGGAGACGACAGCACGGCTGTGACGCCTCAATTTGAGGACTTCTTTAACACCCTTATTGGATCAGGACCGAAATCTTTTAATATCCTGTTTCTTAGTGCTCTTAGGTAGCTGGAAGGAGTGAATTTATAGCGGAATTAGAGGCAGAGGATCACATCCTGCCTGCAGCGTGGTTAATGGCAGGTGGCACTGCCAAGCAAATCCTGTCCATTTAATAATGTCATCAAACACAGTTGCTTTGTACTGTTCCCATAAGATAATAAATAAGATATTCTAAAGAAGGTTTTCTCCTTGGTGCTGGGGTTTTTTTGTCTGGTGGCATTTTTTTGGTGGTTTGTTGTTGTTTTGGTGGGGGGGGTTGTTGTTGTTTTGTGTGGGGGATGTTTGTTTGTTTGTTTGTTTTTAATTTAATTTTTTTGTGTTTTCTGGACTAAATAGATGGGAGGGAAGAAAATAACACTGGAGACAGGATGACCTGAGGCTGCCCAAGCTTAGGGATGAAGGTATGGAATGTGTATGCCAGGTAACTGCTGTGTGAGTAACAGGAACACAGAAGGACCCCGAACCTTCTGGCCATTGACAGGGAGAGGAGGTTCCCTACAGAAGGCATTAAGGCACAGGGAGAACCCTTCATGTGACAGTCCTGCCCAATCCCTTCTCCTCTTTTTTTGGAGGATGAGAGAGGGAAATCAGCATTACAGGAGCAGTTTGTCCCGAATTGTTACAGGAACAGCAACTGGCACCTGCACAACACCTGTCTGAGCTGTGCACTGAGCAGAGCTCAAAGCAAACATCTGAGCTCCAGGTTTCCTCAGCAAACCATCAGCAGGAAAACAAGGATCCCATCCCTTTCCAGCTCCAGCTGGTTGTGCTCGGAGAGCTGGTTTCAATCACACCAACGACCCTGGTGCTCGTGTAAAACCCACTGCCAGGCAGGAGAGGGGAGAGTAATCCCAGCAACAGAGCTGGCTCCACAACCACTTTTGTTTGCAAACATGGAAACTAATCCCCAGGTGCCACGCGCTGCTTCCCAGGCCTGGATCTGTTTCCAGGATTAGTGAGGTAAATGTAAAGCTCACTTAAGCCTGATGCTTTTGTCCTGGAAAGCTCACAGCCCTCTCCTTCTACACTACACGGCTCTAAACCCACGCTGGAAAACAACATCTATCAGTTCATTTTGGCAGTATTTTTATCCTTCATTTTGAGAAGAGGGATACTCCTTGGTCAGACACTCTGAGGACCCAGCAGAGGAAGGAGAGAGACATTATTCCACCCACACTGTTGATTACAGTTTACAAACTCGTGTTTCTTGAGCAAGTGTTAAAGGCCAAAATAAACCCACAGAAGACAATTCCAGGGTCTCCAAAAGGATCTGCAGGGTCCTAGAGGATGCAGGTGCAGAGAGCTGGTTTCATGTCCTGCAGAAAGCAAATTCCTGTGCACAGTCCTGCTCGTGCCTCACATCACAGTTTATTGCTTTGCCTCACTTCTTCCCCAGCTGCAAACAGGGATGATAGTTCCTCTCTAACACCACTGGGAGCCCAGCAAACAAAATCTTATTCTTTATAAGACTTAAATTATTACTGAGAATCTGTGGAAAGAGATGATCTATCTTTATTTCACATAGACACTTGCTAAGACTCTGTGAGCCTTCTGGGGAGGGAGCAAAGCTGCTGGAGCTGCTGGAGCTTCCCAGCAATTTCCATTCCAGAAACACTGATTTGTTTTCTGTAGAACTTGAACATCAAAGGATGCAGTTCTGCACCTCCACAAGGGTACAAATCCGAACTACACGTGCACAGCTGAGGGCCCTTAGCATTGGGAAGTGGAATTCAGGGATCAAACTTCACCCTGCCTGCTTTGGGAACTTGATTCCTCCTGTACCACATCTCACATCAGAGCCCCAACTGCACATTGTGCCTTGTTCTGGGCTGGTACAATTCCAGCTGCAATTAATTTCCTTAATATGAATAAATAATACTCATTAGAAGAGGTGATTCTATCCTTGCTCTTCCCTGTCTCAGGTGGGTGCTCCAACCATCAGATTTGTCTGCTGGGTTTTTGTTTTTCACTTTGAAGGAAAGTGAAAGAAAAAGAAAACCTCTATAGGAAGGGAAAACCATTTTTCATCATCAGTTCAAGCATCTTGTTTCACCTGTCCAGTGCCTCCCCCACCCACAGCTCCTTTTCTGTAAGTCCATCTTATTTGAACACTTATTTACTACTGATATTTGGTCACACACTTGCTTGCTCCATGTACCAAAGTTCACTCCACAATCCAGCCAAAGGGAAGAGCAAAGTGCTGAAGGAAAGAGCAGAAATTCCTCTAATTGGTTGGAAAATCTAAAAAAAAAAAAAATCTGGAAAAGAAACTTGCAGTGACCAGAAAACCAGCTGCCAGATTTTTCCAAAGGTTTCTCAGTAAAGGCATCAGTGAGTGCATGTTGCAAAGCAGTGAGCCCAAATGGTTTAAGTACCTCTGAAATAAAGCAGCTTGGCATACCAGATAGCTGCTAAGAATGTGAATTTCATGGGGATTTATTAAAGAGAGAACATAAAAATGAGGATTAAAGTACATCTGAAAGCTCATGGAAGACAGAAAAAATAGAATTACGGGAAGATGAGGCTTGTACAGTGTCACTGCCAACGCCTGACACAGCCTTTGCTTCTTTTCTGTTCCTAAAACTACTTGCAGGGATTGACTACAGTTCTCTAGATGGTTTGAAACCAGTCACAGTGTGTGTGTAAAACCAAGATGAACACAGTGGATGTGTATAACCAAGGAGAACATCCTGCTGTCTCACTGGTGATGGGATCACACACACTCAATGACAGGTTGGACTCCTCTAGATTTAAGTCTTTGCCTCAGATGGGAAATATTTCCTGCTTTCAGCCACCAGCTCAAGCCCTGTATTTGTCACACTGAGCAGGGCCATTTCATGCACTATCAATTCATCCAGTGCTGATTAACTGCAAAGGGAATTGAGTGGAAATCATTGGCAAGGTGTTAGTGTAAAACTTGTGATAATGAAATATCCCCCTCACCTGATTTTACACTGCCTTAACCTCACATGAAAATAAGATCTGTGTTGCTCAGAGTTTATCAATCCCTATTGGTTTTCTTCCCCTCTTTCCTTTAGGTCCCATATTGCAGTGACAGACTGAAGTTGGAAGTAAATTCTTTACCTGTGTCATTTCACTGGAACATGACGTGATATTTATATGATAACTCAGAGATCTGCACTGTGATAACTTCTGTGCCTTTACACAGGTAGCAGACACAGAGATGATAAGCTAAATCCAAGTCCTTATTCAGACAATTAACTCCACTGGGCTCAACAGGCTCACTCAAGTGTGAGACTATTCAAGTGTGAGACTGCTCGAGTGTGTAACCAGCTACAGGATTGGGGTCCAGCAGCTCCTACTAGAAAATTAAAAACCAGAAGAAACCAAAGACTTCAGCAACCAAGATGTACTTTTTCTATATCCACCAGTGTGGCAAATCCTGGCTGGTTGTGACAGTGACTCCAGTTTCTGAGATAAAGGGCAAAGCAGGCTCAGAGCCACAAGATCCCGCTGCACTTCGGGATCGTCAGCACCTTCTCCCGTGGGCTTGGAGAGACCATCTAAAAACACAAGCCCAGCCTAGCACAGCCTAATCCTGCTCTTGTTGTGTGTTACCATAATAGAGATAAATAATAACAGCAACAACATGTGAACAGAGAGCTGATTAAAGCTTACACGAGCGCTCCACTCTAAATGTATATGCCATTAAAATGTCAAAATGATACAGAGACTTTAACTAGACCATCAATAAGGAAAGCAACCTGAGAGGGGGGATGATAGGGAGGTACAGATGCTCCCCTTAGCTGTGTGTGGGGATGTCAGTCCTGTGAGGGATGAGCCTGAAATAGCCACTGTTCTCTTGGGAGATGCTACATTGAAGGGAGCTGCCATACTTCAGGTCACGTGCCCACATTCCCTGGCAAACGTGCAAACTTAGTCACTTCTTCACCTTCAAAAATAGGACTGGGGAATAATTGCCACCGATAAAAATGAATATAACTCTGTAAAGGATGATGCTGGGTGCCTAAGCATAATTACACTTGTCTGCATAGGGTATGACAGGGGAGGGATTCATCCTCCTGTGGAGGGTGCTCAGTGCAGCACCAAGAGTTCTCCAGCTCATGCAGCACCAAGGGGTTTTCTCCTCTGGCCATCCCTACTCCCAGCCCAACCACAGTTCCTTCTAGAAGTGAGGGATAATTACTGCAGGCTCTGCATGTAGAATCATGGAATCATAGAATGATTAAGGTTGGAAAAGACCTCCATGTCACCAAGTCCAACCTTTGACCCAACAGCCCCGTGCCCACCAAACCACATCCTGAAGTGCCACATCTGCTTGTTTTGTGAACCCTCCCAGGGATGGTGACCTCACCACTTCCCTGGGCAGCCTGTTCCAGTGCTTAACCCCTCTTTCAGTGAAGATGTTTTTCTGCTATTTCATCCTGTTACCAGTTCTGTCCTGGGAAATAAAATACACAACCAGGACACGCTGGAAGTGCTGCTTCACTCCCAAAGGGCCGTTTATCCCTCTAGCAGTGATTAGGGAATTGCTGTGTCCTGGGTCCACAGAACCACCCAGTGCTTAGTGCAGCAGCACAAGTCAGGCACAATGCAGCAAACACACAAATGGCAGATAAATAAAAGGAGTCCCAAGGAAGGGATGACATTTATTGAGTGATTTATCCTGACAAGAGAGAGTCAAAAGTGCTATTCCAGAGCTTTTCCATCCCTGCACAGGCACACTGTTAATATGAAAACAGCATCTTTGCTCACAGCAGCACCTGAA